AGCCTTATCATGAAAGAAATACAAAGATAGTAGAAGATGAAGAAGAAATTGGTTTAGCTACTCTGACCTTCATTAGGATGTTGTTAGACAAAAAGCATTCTAGGAGTGAAAATGGACCAATTGTTGAATTGGTTAAGCACCTAGGCAATCTAAGAGCTACATATGATAAGGTTATGAGTCAAATTGAGAGCATTACAGCTTTCTTCAAGAAAGAAGTCGAGAGTAGTGATAGAAGAATATCACTTTTCAATGAAATTATGTAACTCAATGGTTTTTTACTCATGAAATGCTTGTTGCTGATGAGTATATGTTGAAAGAAAATCACAAAGTAAAGTTTTTCTTTGCACTATCACATGTATTTAGAAAGGACTATATATGAAAAAAGTTAAACAAATGTAAAGCCTATCGCCCATCTTTTGACTTTCCTTCTCTTGGACACATGTAGAACACAGTACATATTATTAGCATTCATAAATTAAGTATTTTTTATATTCATTTAATTAGTATAAAAGGGGTTTTTTTTTATTGCAAATAGATTGGTAAGTTATAAATTCATTTCTTTAAATTCAAATTTAATATTTAATTATATATATGACTATTTTCATATTTGTATTAATAAAACAAAAATCATACGTGTGTGAATGATATAATTTCTAATGGAATAATTGTATAAAAAAATTATCATCATAATGTTGAATTGAAACTATTGGAGATGGTATTAATTCAAACAAATATGATTTTATAAAAATTAACAACTATACATTCATATGAAGTACAAATAATTTGAAACTATTGTATAAATTTACAATTATTAGTTATCTTCAATCCTCAATGTGCAAATATGGATATGTAGTCACATCATTCTTTACAGGCTTCATTCAATTTTGTCTTATGTGAAGCGTTCTTTATTGCTCACTATTAACAAAATATAAGCACTCAATGTCAATCAAATTACATTATTATATATAAGTTTAATTGAAATATATTAGTTAGTATATGGTATTTACACTAACCTTGTATAGTATTCTCATTAGATCATACATAGCAATCTCTCTCATAAAATAGATGACATAATATCCACATTCTATAAGTTTTGGTTGATAAGGAGCTAGAAAATGGAATTGAGTCACTTATCAAACATTTTTTTAAACAAACTCAGCTTAAAAGAATATATTTTACATTTACTGACAATGTCACCCATTTGAACTTTTTATTTTTATGAACTTAGTTATTCCCCAGAATTGAACACAAATGAACTCATAAACATAATTCTATTAATTATACAAAAACACATTTTAATAAAATGATCATTTATACGTAAAATGTAATATCTCTTTATTATATTGGCAAGCTCAAGTTTAGGCATTGACACTTCTTCTTCAGAGTTCGATAAGTAAGGAGTAAACGTATTCATATTAATTACAACAAGCTACCAATGACTCTTGCAAAATAATATGTATACTAATGTTAAAATGTATTACATGTAAAACTATAGAAGTTTAATATAATACATTATCCAATTATTACTATGAATTGAACTTACCTAGAATTATAAGGCATTAGATAATATTAAGACTATTTTTGCAATGATTGACTCACATGATGAGTACAATTAGTGAGAGAGCCAGAATCATGATTGATAAAGTTTAGGTCAATGAATCTGTATGTATCAGTTAATTGTCTTTTCTTCAACCCTTAGTACAAGAAGTTGTATGATGAAAATCAGCAGTATCATACTGTTATACACAATATAAGAAAATATTTTCATAAAATATATTTAAATTAAATTATAAGCTAATCTCATATACGCAACAATTTTAGCAGTTGATATCTTTTTCATCCTACGAAATGCATCAATCTTTAGCTGCCTTAATCAATAATTCATGCTTGACCTCATGGTAATGCAATCTCCTCCTAATAAACGTTTACGAGCATAAATGAAAAGTGCATTCATGGTAGACTATACAGGTGTGATGATCTAAGACTGAACATCTTATTACAAACAAATATAAAATATTATTGTAACAAAATAAAAAACATAAATTAAATTAAAAAGTAAAATATAAAATAACCAGAATGGTAATTATCGAAGAAGGGGTTTGTTGTAAAACTTGATCTGTGAATTCATTTTTGAGTTGGATGTTGGTAACAGATTGACCCCAAGCCATGTTAGGTTGCATTACTACCAACATTGCCTCTAATGCTATAAGTTGTTGATGTTGCTAATTAAATTGTTGCTATTATTGCTCTATTATGGCATTATATTCAACATTATTTATTGCACGGGGTTTTCATTTGATTCTTGAAATATTGTGTTGGAGAGACAAATCTCCTAACCCCTTAATCACAACCAGGTTTGTCTTTTGATCTTAAAACCAAGGATAAAAGATCTTCACCATAATCGATTTGCAGCACACCAAATTCATATCTTGTAGCAAATTCATCTTGAAATACAACATGATGGTGAGTAACCAAATACAAAATTTATTCATACATAAAAGCCTATGCAGTATACGTGATATAAAAATGAAATAAATTTACAGTCTTCTTAGCCATTTGTTTAGTTGCTCATTCTCATATGTTCTATCTTTGCCTATATTTCATTTTTTACAAACATCCCACCTTGGTATTTTGGTGCCTGAGCTGGATGTTTCCTAAAATCATAAATTAATATAAGTTTTTAATTTTCATTAAATGAAGTTCATAGAAGTCAACCACAAGTATAATAAAAGTGTTTGAATACTTATCAGAATTGTTAGCAAAAGGTAAAATATATTTGGTTGTTAATTTGTTCTTAAAGTCTCTAAATTTAAACCCAGTAGATTGCAACACAAGCTTCTTATACTTAGATGGGATATCAAACAATTCCTATAAAAAAGATTAAATTAAATTAACTTAACACATTATTTTTGCATCTTAACACATTATTTTTGCATTCCATAAATAATGAATTAGTTTGGATTTCATTGAAAAAACTTACCACAACTGAATCCCATATATTATCCTTCTTATCATCCATAACCTTTTTCCAACTAAGATAGTTAATAGATATAGTCCCCAGATGATAGCTCCAATATGGCTAGCTAATTTTATACCTCCACTTAACACAAGCTGCCCATCTTGATTGAACTCAACATGAATTTTTTTCTAAGTAACTTTAAGCAATTTACCACGTCCCTTAATTTTTTTTTTTCAAGGTGGATGTATCACTTGAGACTTCTTTTTCATTTTCAGTAAAATGAGATATATGTTTTTCTGAAGTCATACTATCTTATGATTTTGATCATAATAGTATTACCATCTAACAAACAAACCAAATCAACATATATATTATGCATGTATAACACCGAATAAAGCACATAATCCAAGTCAACAAATATATTTTACATGTTGTGAATAGAAGTTGCAATTAGGGAACAAAGCATCCAACCATATATAATCAACAAATATACTTAACATGTAAACATATATCTATGGAACAAAAAAACTTCATGTTGAGAATACATGTTGTGTATAGGAAAGAGAATAAAGCATCCAACCACATAAAACCAACAACAGGAAATATGGAACAAAGCATCCAATGACATAATCCAAATGTGGAAAAAATTAATGTTGCAAACATAGTACAAATAATCCAAACAGACATATTAAACCATGAATAAAAGAAAAAAAAAAAAAACAATACACTTACTAGAGTTATGCTACACAACGGTGGTGGCAGTAAGGGAGATATAATGGTGAGGGTTTAGGTGATATTTGGCAAGAGTGGTGATGGTGAAGGAGAATTCAACAATTAGACGATGTGAAGAGTGATTTTCTAGTTTTGGCGCTCCATTTGCTACTTGAAAATTTAGTTGTAAAATAAATAAAAAGGTCGAAAGTGAAAAGGTTTATGGTTTTAAATAAGAGCCAATTATGATGTTTAATTAAAAGAAATGATGTAATTGAGTAATGTAAAATTTTCAAATTAGGCAATTATGACATTTAATAAAAGAAATGTCATAATTGAGTTAAGTAAAAATTTTAAATACTCAATTATGACATTTAATTAAAAGAAACACGGGAATTAAGTATTTTAAATTTTTAAATGAGCTTAATTATGGTGTTTTATTTAATTAAATGCCATAATTACCTATATTATCTTTTCAAATTCCAAATTACTTACTGTATTTTTATATATAAACGTTGTGATTGGTACAATTTTAATTTTATAAAAATCTATAAAATCCTTCATTCACTTTAGTAAAAAAGGCATAATTTGTTATGTTTATTTTTTTTAAAACGAAATAAAATATTTTTTTCAAGGTTGTCAAAGACATTATGGTAAAAATATATGATTTAACAAATGTAGATTTCCCCCAACCAAAACAAAAATCTAAAATGCAAAGTCTTGAAATCAAACTTTTTCTTAGGTATCACCTCGAAATCTAAAATTTTATGAATTAAATGCTTTCTTAAGAGTTTCTGAAAATGAATATCCAAAAATTTTTTATAGTTTTTCAAAAATGCGTTTCCTTGGAATTTATTTTCAAAAGCTTAGAAGAACTTTCAGAAATATATTTCTGAAAGCTATGAATTGTAGCATCGATTTCACCCAAATTTTTTTGAAATTAAAGACAAAATCAAATGAAATTAAAATAAAAAAATGAATTACTTTTAATTAGAAGTTTTATAACTTGATTTTTTTTATTTCCCTTGAATCTAAGTTAGATTTTAGGTTAATTTTTAGGGAATAGAGAATTGAGAGGGGTGTGAGGGGGGAGAGGATGGAATGTGAGGGTGTTATGAAAAATTGAATTTAGAGTAGCGGATGTGATGACTAAAAATGAGGTTTTAAAAGTATTTTTTAGGGTTTATTAAGAATTTCACCCTCTAATATTACTTAAGAACAAGGGAGGCGTGGTATGTACGCCAAAACAGAGCAGTAGAGCAGCAACTTCATAGTTTTATTTACCCACTCGTCTGTCTGTAGCCCCCCACCACACCCCCCCCCCCCCCCCCCGAAAAAAAAAAAAGTGAAAGAGTTTGAAAGGCATGGATGAGGAGAAGGAGAATTGCACAATTCACCCAGCAGTTGCGCCGCTGTCCTACTTGTTGGGCAGATGGAGAGGGGAAGGTGAAGGAGGATACCCCACCATCAACTCCTTCCGCTATGGCGAAGAGCTTCACTTCTCTCACTCTGCATCTGGGAAGCCCGTCATAGCCTACTCCCAGAAGACCTGGAACCTCAATTCTGGTGAGCCCATGCACTCTGAGACCGGCTATTGGCGTCCCAAACCTGATGGCTCCATTGAAGTTGTCATTGCTCAGAGCACTGGCCTTGCTGAAGTTCTTGTATTCTCTTCTCTTTGCTCTTCCTTTTTTCTAACCTTAACATTCACTTATCTCTCATTCTATGTTTTATCCATTTCAGAAGGGGACATACAATGCAGAGGACAAAGTGATCAAGCTTCAAAGCCAGGTTGTAGCCAATGCTTCCAAGGTAATTTTGTAACAAAACCCATTCATCTTTTCCTTTTACTCATTGTCAATTCTCAGGCACATGTGCTGTTTGTGTCTCTATTCCTTTCTTCCTTGAATTTGTTTTTGGTCAATTTCGGATAATAAATTTCTTTAGCAAGGCTGGGTTCAAGTTTTATGTGCAGTAGGTTGAGATATTGCTTGCCATTTTCAGCAGCTGAAAACTCTAAATCTTGAACGAAAACCTCCTTCTTTGGCATCACATGCACTGCCCCTTAGACATATTAACACGCTGGCCTTTGTTTTTTAGTTGCAATAACTATTTCACAGAGGGGAATAATGCTGGGTGATAAAATCAACTAGATTTCGGCCAAAGGTCTGTCAGTTCCAGCAATGATAAACTTTGTCTTCCTAATCCTTTACCTCACTTCTTCTTGACAATCTTTTCTGGTGATTGAGACAAAAGAACTGTTGAAACCAGGGGACATTCCTTTGTGCTCATTAATCCGTCATAGGTTTAGGTACTTTTATGGATGCTCTTATCATGTCAGACTAGATGCTTTGTGAAATAGTACAAATAGTCATTTGGAATGTTTGAGTGTGTATCAAAGAATACCCATCCTTTTACCTTTTCTGTATAAACATATGTTACCAATGTCAAATGTTCCAAGTAATGGATTATTAAAGTTATGGGGTAGGATAGTTCCAAAAAAAAAAGTTATGGAGTAGGACTTTCTTTTTTATTGAAGGTTTATCTAACTCAAGAACTATCTATGCACTTAAAAATAGGAAAGGGTAAAGCATTAGCCTAACAGAGAGTTAATATGCTAAAATATAATTACTTAACAGAAGCAATAGCTAAAATTTCTTTATTGATTCTTGTTCCCATATAACTTCTTATGTAATGGAATCTTAAGGTAGAGTCTCCCCTTTTCTTATTCAAAAATGAGGTTGATGATTTCTTACATATCCTTCTAGACAAAGTATGAGTTTCCACTATGCTGCACATGATTTGTTATCCATAATTCCATATACTCATCCTTGATGGAGGAAGCAACGGTGTCTTTTCTCATTGCATTCATTAGTTCTACCCCTTTTTTTTTTTTTTTTCTTTGCTTGCAGCCTATGATTTGTATTTACTTGAAATTAATCTTACTGAAGTTATTCAAATAAAATGTATTTAGTTCTCTTTTTGAGTTTCTTGACAAGGTTGTTGCACTATCTATGCAGTTAGCCTTTTTGAAACTGCCATGGGGATTGCCTTCGATCTAAAATAGTTGTCCTACTAAATTATGTGCATGTTTCACTTGATTTTGAGTTATATGCCGTGGAGATTAACCACCTTCCTTGATTTTATTGCCATGAAATTATTAACATAGCCTGTACTTGATTTCTAAGTTGCACAGTTGATCTCTCTAATGATCTCAATTTTGTGGTTACATATTTTAACCATAAAAAGGGATGTCATCAGGGAGTTCATATATATGGTTCATGCTTGTGGCATCACTTGAGGGATGATAATTATAACCAATTATGAGGGTGAGATGGATGGCTAGAAAATTTAATCAATTGCATATACATATAGAAACCAAGTAGGATCCAAATTTAATTTGATATGGTTTGCATTGGTTTGGAGAGGACAAATAATGACATTGGTGGGAAAATCTAAGCTGCTAGGATTTCAAAGCTAGCACAAAAAGGTTGTATTTGGACGGGAATTAAAACAGTTGCAAAATATATGATAATTGCAATTTTAACAAATAAAATTGATTTATGTTGAACAACTTTTACCATTTTGAGGACCAGTTAGCATTTGTGTTCAAAACATCATTAAATGATTAAAAGAAAACATAGTGAAAAAGTTGGAACAGCATGTTGGATACAAGTGAAAACGTAGAGAAACAGAATTAATGTTGAATAAAGAGAGGAAATTGGGGGACAGGAGAGACTTAGAGGGAAAAGGGAAACTATAAAGAAGCAAGGAAAAGGAAATATCGTATCAACATTTTAAAGTTCCCAATTATTTATAATCTAAAGCTACTAGAAACTAAAATAATTTAAAGTATGTTACCTGCTAGCAGGATGGTTGTGTGGTTGCAAGGCCTTGCATGAGAGTAGGGATCATGGTGGGTAGATGCAGATGGCTAGAATGATAAAGTGATAGGCTCTAGGAGTCCTTATCTTATCAGTGCTTATCTTTAGAACTTATCTCTAGCATTTACCTTATGTAATTCTTCATTTTGTGAACTAGTTTGGTGTTTATCTCTCCTTAGGTTGTTATTAGTAAGTTAATCTTTTCAAGATGGTTGTTCAGGCTATGAAAATTTTCTACTCTCTTGAGTAAGGGTAATATGTAACAAGGCCCAAGCACCACTTGCCCTGCATTTTTTTTGGGGCCAAAACCATGTGGCCGTCAAAACCTTAAGCTCAAGGTGCTAGTAGTGATTGACTTGACCCTTATATGGGTTTTAACAATCACATTCATATGAGATGTGGGATGGCAAATTGCAATCCTAGCCACTAAAATCTTTGACAACGTTATAAATGCTATAGATCACAATTGCAGACAATGCCCACTCTATAGGACCAAGATCTCACCAGTGTGCTATGGAAGCCTGCATTGGGCTGGCACATGTTCTAATACTAATTGAAATGTCTTGGGTCCAAGCACCACTAGCCCAACAACTTTTCGAGCCTAAACCACATTGCCCTTAAAAACTTAAGCTCAAGTTGCTAGTATTGATTGACTAAAAAACTTATATGGGTCTTAACAATCACACTCACATTAGATATATATCGCAGCAAGCATGTTTGGGTGATGACAATTTTCTTCTTAAAACTCTACTCCAAGGACTCTCCTCTGGTGGCTTTAGGTTTTAATTAAAAAAAAAAAAGCTCCAAAACTTAAAAGGACATGGAAGAGGTTGGGGGCTGACTAGGTTTGCATATGGCAAGATGCTAGTAGGCTACACCCTATATTGTAATATGAATGTAGAGTGCCGCATATAATCTTGTTGCCCTAATTCTTGGAAAATAAGAAAAGCCCAAATTAATATGAAGATAATCCAAATAATATATCACAAATATGTATAAGAATTATAACTAGGCTCACAAATATAACAAAGTAGCAAACTTAAATCTTAAGTAATTAAATCTCTTGTGCAAGTTCTTTTCATCTTGCATTGTTCTCCTTTTATTTAAGATTTTCAACCTTGACTTTTGAAATGTTGGAGGATAAGAATTTTTTCCCTGATCAGAACCATGGATAGACTATCAATGGTAAATTTCTCATGTGCCATAAAATTCTTGAAAACGCATTGGATAATGAAGTCAATGGAAAACTTTTCACCAGATTCCTCATTCGCTTTGATAGATATGAGCTTGCTTCCTAGATTTGGAAGAATAAATTCAATGGAATCTTAACTAGGTAGCACTTCACTAAGCACTTTAGTCTCCCAATTTATTGGTTCAATTTCCACAGTCCCAACATTCTCAGTTTTAGACAGATCGTGTTGCATTATCTCATTAGGCCTTACCTCTTTGTATCACCTTTTGGTGCTTCTTTATGCTTGCTTTCTATGATGGAATCGAAGTTGACTGATTTTCCCAAATTTAATGCATTCTTGTTGATTATGACCGCAAGTGCACGGATTGTGACACGTAATTATAGTGCGAGTAAGATTCGTTTTTACAGAGATTGTAAAAGAGTCAAATTAATTACCGAAATTGAACACCCTAGACCATATTCAGAAAAATCGGAAGTTAAACTTAACCTACCTAATTATGCAAGAGCCAAATTAAACTACTAAAACCGTAAATTAAAAATGAAATTAATCAACTTAAACAGCAATAAAAACAATAATTAACTAACCCAAACAGCCCTAATAACCGAATTAAAAACATGTAAAACAGAATTTAAAATTAAGCAGCACTTAAACCGAACAAAACAGCACTTACAACTAGAAATTAAAATGTAAAAACAGAAACCAAAACTGTCAATGCAAAACAGTAAATTAAATTGATGCAGAAAATAAAAACAGTCTTGAAACTAAGTGCAGAAAATTAATTCTAATGCTGAAAACAGAAAATTAATTTAACCCTATATGCAGTAACAAAATTGCAATGTAATAGCAAATTAACAACCTAAAACAGCAACTGAAACTTAAACCATAAACTGAAAACAGAATTGAAACAATATGCAGAAATCGAAAATTGCAACATTGCCTAAAATAGTCCACTTTAACTGTGCAGAATTAAAAACAGCAAACAGAAACCATGCAGAATTTAATTTAACCATGCAGTATCTTAAATCTAATGCAGAATTATTAATTTAACTAAGTGCAGAAACTTTAAATTAAATGCAGAATAATTTTAGAGATGCAGAAACTGAAAATTGAACCTAAACTATATGCAGAAACTTAAAACAGAACAGAAAAATTAATGCAGTAGCTAAAATAGTATAACAATAACAACAACAAACTTTAAACCTTAAATCCCATAATAACAGCTGCAAACTAAGCTTTATATCCCATAGCTCTGAGGTCGGTTGCATGAAAGGTCAAAAAATGGAATCATGTTAAATCATAGTTTTGAGTCTTCTTGCGCTGCTCATTTCTGTCACAGACAAACTTTTTCATCTACTTTTTTAATCATCATATCTTTTTTTATTACTTGCATCTACTTTTTTCATGGTCTACCTCTAGAAGTTTTGGTCTTTCCCAAATTCAGAAACTCATTTCTCCTGATTGGTGCATAAATATGCCTACGTTTCACATGTTCAAACCATTTCAAATGGCCCTTTCTTATCTTTTCCTCAATTTGGGTTGCCCCTAATTTTCTCGAAATTTTTACTTTTTTTTTTTTTTTTTAATTTTGTCTCTTCTAGTAATCTTTTCCTCAATTCGGATTATCCCTAATTTTCTTGAAATTTTTACTTTTTTTTTTTTTTTTAAATTTTGTCTCTTCTAGTCTTACCACTCACCCATCTAAACATCTCTATCTTAGCTACGCTTATTTTCTTCTTATGTTGTTTCTTAATGGCCCAACACTCAGTCCCATATAATTTCAGCTTGTTGTAGGTCCCTTCTTGAACTTGAATACCTTTCCCTTTCAATTCTGGTCAAGTTGGCATGCACTTCTTGGGAGACAAACTTTTAAATTCTGTTTTGGATTTCTAGACTCCGAGTCAGCGTTGGCTTCTTTCAATCAAAAGACAATAACAACTTTTGTACTTTCCTTCATGCAGCAAGTGAATTCCATCTTGTCTTGGACTCTTGTAATTCAACACAATTACCAAGCCAAAAGGGAAACAAATTTCAGTTTTGAACTCTTACTGTAGTTAATGCCAAGTCAGCTGTTTGCTTCTCTTATTGTCCAATTAAAATCCAGCTTGTTCCATTCTGGACAGCAACTTGATTGAAAAATAGGTGGCAGCTTCTTATCCTTCATGGCAGCAGCTAACTTGCACATCCATTGCCCATGCAACACAAGATCAGCTCTTTATCCAGCCAGCTTTTGGCCCTAGTCTTGGTTCCTTGTTATTTTCACATCAACTTCATCTTAGCTAGGACTCCAAATTTCAGCTTTTAGGTACTTGAAACAGAATTTAAAGATCAAACTCATCTTTTCCATGATATCATCCTACTAAGCCTTGTTGTCCAATAAAAATCCAATGCATCCAAAATAATTCCATGCATTGCTTACTACATTAAACTATATGGATTTGCATAAAAATTCTGAAATTAAAATCTGCCTGAGGCTAAACTGGATGCTGCCTGATTAAATTTCATGGCTACATTGCATGAAATTGCTTGAAAAAATCAAACACTTCTTGAACTGAAACTCACCTAATTCTGCCTTGGGATTTTGCTGCCATGAATTGTCCAAAATTCAGCCCCAAAAACAGCTTAATGCATCTTTTAAAAATTATGGCAGCATCAACAACTTGGGCCAATAGGTGTGGTTAGCTCTTTTTGGACCAATCAGATGTATTTCTTTTAAAAATCAACCAAATTGATTCAAATTTCCAACATTTCATACTTTCTTGAAATTTTTTCTACACATGAGAAAATTACTCAAATTAGGGATGAAAATTAAATTATTTTGCCAAGAACGAAGCAAAATTCATACAATTAAGCACTAAAAATAACTCTATTTTATAGAGTTATCACTTGTATTCATGCAATTCCCATTTGAAAATGCTTTCTCACTCTAATGTATGTAACTTTAAGCCCACTATATTCATAAAATACGTAGGGATGAAGATTTTCATGGCCTTATCTATTTCTCAAAGAAATCAACTTATTCAAATGCACAACAGGACACGGGTTCTGGTGTGAAATATGTGTGTGACATGGCATTTGTCATTCAGACATCAGAAGGGTTTAGGGTTTGAGCCACCTTCAACACCGCAGCTTGCTTTGGTTTTTCCATTTTTAACCTTGGTTTAAGCCACTGAAAAACGAAGAGCAGAAAAATAAGAGTAGAATAGCAGCTGCTTGAAGGAGAAACAAAACAAAGAGGAGAGTCGGGGGTAGGAATAGAATGAAAATAAAAGAACAAGAATGGCCATTGGGATTTGGGAGTTGTCTGGTCCAACACATGTGGGTTTAAAGGGTTTTTTTCTTTTAATTTTTTTTAATTTTATAGAAGTTGTTTGGAAGGGATGAAACATATAGAAACAATTGTTGTCATTGTTATTATGTCCCCACTATCACAAGCCCATATAGCATTGTTATTATGTCACCCTAAGCCCATTTAGCAAAATGAAAGAAAAGAAGAATACGAGCTGAACGATGGTTTTGGGGCAAGATATGCCCAATTTGTTCTTACTTTTCATATTAGGTTCCTATAAGCACAAGGTTTTGTTTGAGTTAAATTAATTTTTCAAAATTTCAAACTTCTACGAGCAGTATTATTATACTCCTACAAATTTTTACTAGGAACCCCCCATATCCATATCCTATTTTTAGATACTTTTTAGCCAAATCTGCGAGTCCAAATATTTTACCAAAAGATGAGTCTGACATATGGACACATACCCTTACTGCATACTCATACCCGAGTCCATGTAACATAGACAACCATCATCTCCTAAAATTCTTAATTATTGATCATGAGGATCTCAAAATAAATGCTTCATTAACTGATTGTAAAAATTTGATCTTTGGAGGTTAAATCGATCCATATAGATGTCAAAATGGAATTAGGATGTTGAAATTAGGGGCCAATGAGCTTCCGGATAAATGTTGACATGTCAATGACATGTAGAACTGACTTGGCATGTGAGGTGGTGGCATTGTATGGTACAGATCGACTTGGCATATGAATTGCATGGCCAGCATTGCCAAGATCATATTTGGTTCACAGGGATGCAGTGCAGATCAATTAGAGAGAGCTTCAACAGTAGGCAGAGGTTTCATGCCAGCCTATTGAAATCTGGGGTTTTAAAACTTTTTATAACAGCTTTTTTGTTTTATTATTATTATTATTATGATTATGGGAAGGGTAGGGGCTGGGTATTGTGGTAGGAAAAAGGCAAATAGCAGAATCTTTGCTGAGCTTTGGTACCAAAGTGATGTAGTGGCAGGTAGGAGGGTTAGAGAAATTACAGGGAGAAGTTGGAGAAATAGAGGAAATTAAGTAGGAGAACAATAGAAGAAACAGTGTAGTGAAAACTGGAGAGATAAAAAGAATAGGGAAATCTCAAATTCAATATTTCCAAATTGTCAACAATTCAGAACCCAAAACTGCTATAAACTAAAACAACATAAAAGTAAAATACATTACAGTAAAATAACTTAATCAATAAGCTTTCCTCGTGTCTTGATGGTTAGCATTTGGGATCCAGAGCTAGCTTTGCATTGGAGTGTATTACCTATGATTTATATTTTTTGTGCAGTGTGGATGGCTTCCTAAGAAGAATTATTAACAGCAGTGGATTGTGTTTTGTTGAGCAGGTGAGGGAGATAAGTCGAGTTTTTGAGATGGTTAATGGAGAATTATGTTATCGTGTTCAAATGGCTACCAATGTTACCAGTCTTCAGCCACATCTGAAAGCAGTGCTCAAGAAGCTGTCTTAGAACTTCCAACTTTTAATTTTCAGGATGCAAACTAGTCCATTCTATTTGGATCAAAACTAGTTTTTGATTTCTGGTTCCCCAAAGTCACAAATACATATATGGGTCAGAAATTGGATTATGAGAGGATCATATAATAATCGCATAATACATGTGTAATTGCAAATAAGATTTTTCAAACTCTTAGTGTGCAAGAAACTTCATGGCAGACAGCTTGTGCTTGAAAGATGTTGTAATTTATTGGGTGCAAACCAGCGATTGGATTGATTTGTTTATAATTCCTTACAAACACGCTTCCTTGTATCCATCATCTGCCGTTTGACTAAATCAACTCTCTTAAAACTCAACAGCTTTCCCATTTCATACTTGGAAATTTTGGATTGCTAAACCACTACAACTGTTACATTTCATGCTTCATTTCTTTTTATCGGCTGGATTTGTCATAGTTATATTTGTACATGTGAACAATGGTTAAATAATAATAATAATAATAATAATAAAACCTTAGTTTCAGGTTGTTATCATTATCTTCATTCAATAATCTCCAAGGATGTGCGGAGATTAAGGCGTTAATTTGTTTTTTTCTTTGTTATACTTAATGAAAGAAGAACCTTCACATTAAGTCAGAAGTCCATGTATTCTAGAAAATTTCGAAATTTAATTTCTTTTTATTATATTTGATACAAAATTTGAAAATGTCATATGTTAATTAATCCACACCAGATTTGTATTTTAATTTATCTTTAAAAAAAAAACATTAATTTGATATTTTAAATTTGTTAATAATTCAATTCAAACGAAAAAAATGAGATTCCCGAAATTTTCCTAACCCAAATATCCCAAAACCTTAAACTCCCAACGCGCAAACATCTAAACAAGTGAATTTCTCTTTCAACAAAAAATGAATTTCCAAAACCTTTAAAATCTACGCTCTTGGTTTTTCTTGTGTTGCGATTTGGGGTTGGAGGCTTCAAAAGGTTTCTTCTTTAAAATTCAACCGTGACTGCTCTTGTTAATTATGGTCTTTGCAGATCTGTTTATTATTAGATTGGTGATAAAAAAAAAAACCCACCTTTGGTTGTCTATTTTGTTCGAGAGTTTCAGGTTCAAAGGGGTAGTTTCCACGTAAATTTTAGTGATATTTGGGCGCCGGTGCAGGGCAGTTGGTTGCTGGGATCTGGATTTTATGGCAGTTGAGGGTGAATTTTTTTGGTTTTGTTTTATTTTTCAGATATTAATGTTTAATAAATTAATATTTTATTATTAGTTTAAAGATATTAAAATTAATTATTAATTGTTTTTTAAAAAAAATTGTTTATTTTTAATTTTTTAAATTTAATCCAATCAAAATATCGTATATTTTAATTGAGGGAAAACGTTACATTATCATATTTAATGTAAAAATTATGATAAAATTAAAAAAATACCAGATTAAATTTATATAAATTATAATAAAGAGATTAAATTTTAAAATTTGTCAAGAAGTTAATTTGACCAAAGAACAATGAATCCTCTTTCCATGCCATCTGCAGCCAGCTGGGCGCGTTCAGAAAGTCCACCGCGTGACTCGTTCTTTACAGCTTTTTCACACCCTTGTACAATTTGCCTCCACCTATTCTCATACTTTGATCATCTATGCACAATCTTTTTATATATAAAATAATTCAACCACAATTGATCCAATAAAAACAATATCTTTATATTAAATTATATTGTTTGAACGCTTATTGAATTTCTAACAATTACTCACTCAAGAGAATACAAAATATTTGTTGAGATTCATGTATATTACTTTAATATATTTTCATTTCCGCTCAAATTGAGAATGGATCCCCACCGCACTAGTGGCCATCACCGAAACCATACTTGAAAAGTATCATATTTATATATATATATATACACATGGAAAATTCAAATCCATTAATTAGGAAAGTTTCCTGTTGGGTTTAGACCCTCATTGAGGTTCATTTATTTATTTTTAATATAATAGAGGTTATAATTTAAGAATAAAGAAAAATTTTCGATACATCAGTTATTATTATTTTTGTAAATAATTAAATAAATTAATTAAATTAAATTTTGTATTTTAATATTCATTTAATTTTATTATTATGTATATATGATAAAAATAAATACAACAAGGCAACGCAGCACAATAAGTGAGGAGAGAGGTAATTCAACTTTGGAAATTGATTAATTTATTATTAAAACTTGATATAAGCGGAAAGGAAACAAAGATGAAATGATGAGAGCTGTGGTTGAAGCCTACAAGCAACAAAATTTTGTAGCATATCCTAATCCAAAAGAGCGAATTAAAGGCGCCTCACTTTGTAGCATAGCTACCAACCAAATAAGCTTTTGATTACATATATATTGCAACATCTCCCCCACCAGGCAGTGGCACCGAATGAGCTTCTAATTCTCTCTCCCCTTTCTTTTTTCTTTTGCCTTTTTCCTTTTGCCAACAGTATACAGTTATGAAGGGGAGGCTGATTTTCCTCCTTTTGATCCTCTTGCTTGTCATCGTTCAATATTCCAATTCCATCACGTTGGAGCTAATACATAGGCATGCTCTTCAGCTCAACAACAATGGGCCTATAACTCAGCAACAACGCCTCAAGGACCTTCTTCACCATGACTTTATCCGCCACAATATCATCTCCCACAAATGGCGCCAAGGCCTTCAACCAACAACCAGAAGCACAAGACAAGCCACGGAGGGGACACCCAGCGCTGCCATTGAAATGCCACTTGCCTCGGGTAGAGATTTTGGAATAGGCCAGTACATTACATCTTTTAAAGTTGGGACGCCATCGCAGCAAATTAGGAGGTTGATCGTGGACACAGGGAGTGATTTAACATGGATCAATTGTAGATATCTGTGTGCCGCCCAAGGTGACAATTGTACCAAAGGGAGGAGGATAAAGCGAAGGAGGGTGTTCAATGCTCGTTTATCTTCTTCCTTTAGGCCAGTTCCTTGCTTTTCACACATGTGTAAAGTTGACCTTATGACTCTCTTCTCTCTTAAAACCTGCCCTACTCCACTTGCTCCTTGCGCCTATGATTACAGGTACATTCACTTCCAATCTTGATTACATTATAATTAAGGACTATTTTCAACCTTGTCTTGAATACTCGGGGCAAAAAAATGGAGTTAATCTATAACACTATGCATGACACGTTAAGAATCCAATGTTGGTAATAGTTCACTCGAGCTGAGATTTTTCTTTTTTTCAACTTGTGGGGATAATAGTTGCCTTCTTTTGCTCGTAGAAATCCAAATTCACTCGGAAACTCGTACTCTTCGAAAAGTACTTTAAAAAAAAAAATGAAAAGTCATAGCAGCATAGGAGCGGAGAAGAAAGAAACGATTCAACTAAAACTAGTTTGCAAATTTGTCCCTTTTTATCTTCCCCACGGTCGGTGGAGCTCAGTTTAAAAACAAACCCAGCCTAAAATGGTCGGCATATGCCTTTTCAAATAAATTTCTAAAGTTGGATTTGGGAGCTAGGGACTTTGATGGCAAGTGCTGTTGGGAGTTATTAGCTGCTTAGGCAGTCTTTGTGATATTTATGTCCAATTACGGTGACAGCTACTTTTGATCACAGCCATATAGTAATGGATGCGATCCGGCCTCATTTATAGTTTGGCTTTAAATGCAGAGAACCAACCAGGGCTAGGCTAAGTCACATCCAAACTCTCTAGCTGTCTGGATCGTGTAGTTAATATTGATTCAGAAAACAAGATAACCTGCAAATACAATAACCCATTGCTCTCTTAACCACATCCAACGCACGATGTTAGTGGTAGTTATTGTTAGTGGGTAAGGTTCACATGACCCAAAAATTTTGGTACCAAAAACAGGACCTTGTACTCCTGGAGTAGGGGTCTGATTTTGGGAAATGCAAACCCTCGTTCCTTGCGGCGACATTAAAACTTGTTTTGAACAGGTATTCAGATGGGTCTGCTGCATTGGGCGTCTTTGCCAACGAGACCGTCATTGTTGGCCACACCAATGGTAGGAAGACGAGACTACATAATGTGCTAATTGGGTGCAGTGACTCTTTCCGGGGCCCAACTTTGCAAAATGTTGATGGTGTCATGGGGTTGGCCTATAGCAAGTATTCCTTTGCAACAAAAGCTGCGGAAAATTTGGGTGGAAAGTTCTCTTATTGCCTCGTTGATCACTTGAGCCACATAAATGCTACCAATTATCTCATCTTCGGTGCAAATCATAACCAAGTAACAGTGTTGGGCGATACTCGTTATACCAGGCTGGAGCTGAATTTGGTCAGTTCATTCTATGCTGTAAATGTTGTGGGAATCTCAGTGGGTGGCAAAATGTTGGATATACCATTACAAGTATGGGACACAACGAAAGGGGGTGGAACAATCCTTGACTCTGGCACCAGCCTCACATTCCTGACAGATCCAGCATACCAACCAGTGATGGAAGCAATCAAGAAGTCAGTTTCCAAGTACCAAAGAGTGAAGTTGGATGGGGTACCAATGGAGTATTGCTTCAACGCTACTGGTTTTGATGAGACTTTAGTCCCAAAATTGATTATTCACTTCGCAGATGGAGCTCGGTTTGAGCCACACTGGAAGAGCTATGTCATTGCCGCTGCTGATGGAGTTAGGTGTCTAGGATTTTTATCAGCAAGTTTTCCAGGCGCAGCTGTTATTGGAAATATTATGCAACAAAACTATCTATGGGAATTTGATTTAGCAGGGAACAAATTGGGTTTTGCCCCATCAGCATGCAGTAGTAGCTAGTTTTTGTTTTTCTTTTCACAGGTTGTTATCAATTCTTTGTAATTCCTTGGTTTTTAAAATCGTTGCTCTCGCCCGTATTGATTAATCAACTGTTCCTATCGTATCTTGGATTCGGTTCGGATCTGACCCTAGTTTCTTGGGTTAACATCGGTTGAGTTATGTGACACACTGGTCTTTTTCCAACAGGTCTGACCCAACGGGATTTTTGTAAAATTGGGTTGGATCATATGTCAAAAGTTATTTATTTATTTATTTTTAAAACTCGTATATATTTCTTAAAATTATTTTATATAAACTATTTTAAAAATATATTTGAATATTGATTAATGATTCAAATTTTGTTGCGTTTGTTTAAAAAATAAAAGAATTAAATTTATAAAAAATATTTGAATATTGATTACTTTTTTGAGTTCCACCACAAATATCAAGCCAATTACAAGCCAATTACAAGTTCACAACCTATAATCGGTCATTTTCAAATTTATTTTATATATGAACCCCATGCCTTATAACTACGGAGGAATTCCAGTATTTTGAATAAGAACATAGTACTATAGCTTTTTGAAAGTTGAATTGTACTAGAAAATTAGCAATTTAATGAGCGCAATAATGATTTGATGCAAACACTTATAAGACACGTTTACAAAATAAAATAAAAAGAGATTACATTAGAACTTACCTCAAGACAAAAAAAAAAGAAAAAAAAGAAAGTTGTGATGAAGGAGATAAACAAGGTTGAAATGATAGGTTTTGGTTGTCATAAGAATATAGTTTTTTGGTGTTATCAAAACAATCAAATTTTCTTTAAAAAAGTGTTTGAAGAAGAAAATAGTAGGTCAATCCTTCTTTAAATGTACCTACATTTTTTCTCTTAGCTATCCTAACTAAGCACAATCCACTAGTAGAAAATTTCTTTTACAAATTATAATTCTTATATTTTAAGGTCAAGATAACAACATTTTTTCTAAGATTCTAACTAATCTTTTTTACAATATCTCTTAAGGGGATTCTTCACCCTTTGACTCACTATGTCTCTTTTGAATACAAAGGCTTTTGAAAATTAGTAAAAATCTTTAATAAGCAAGTTTTTGCTATGGTTAAGGACAAAAATGAAGTGACAAATTAAGATTGGGTACAAGGATTACAAAAAGAATTGGAATCGAAGCATTATAGACTCTAAGGCTCTTTATTTCTTGATTTAAAGCTCTTGGTTCATCAACCTCTCTTGTTTAAAATGTATTTGAGGGTTCACTTTATAGTGGCAAACCATTTCTAGCCATTGTAAATTAGTGGATTTGAGAAATAGCCTTTATTCCCTTTAATTTTTGTCTTTATTCAAACTTTCCTGCTCGAGGGATCAATTTTCTACCTTAGGGGATCGATCCTCATGCTTTCAAATTAAAAATGTAACCATTGAAAATGAGAGGATCAATTATCACACAAAAGGGATTGATCCTCTTTCTTCAAAAATAAGGGAAGAGTATTACAACTTTGACATTTTGACCATTATGGAAGTGGGGGGATTGATCTTTTTATTGGGGGATCAATCTATTCTTCGCAAATTTGTATATTTTGACATTTTTATTAAGGAAAAAAAGATGGATTTTTCTTAAACACATTTTTACCAATAACATTCATTTAAGAGTGTGAATTTTTTGAGAAAATTTGAGATCCAATAATATTTTGTAATTTTCAAGGAATTTAATCAAAAATATTTTTTATAGAAAAAATTACTAAATGTATAAATTGGATAATCATTAAATTTAACTTATGTTTTGTTATATCAAACCTTAGATTAATTCAAAGCTAAAATGTCCCATAAATATGATACTTTTTAAGATAAGCTTTCAATGCCTCTCCTTCATTTTCCATAATGGCCTCATCATCACTTGAGTGCAACTCAAAATCCCAATTATCACCATCATAATATCTACACTTTTTTCCACCACATGGAGCCATTTCTTATTTGGCAACTTCACCATTATCTTCTTCACCATGAATTTCATCATTAACTCCACCAAACTTTGTTCTTAAAAGTTTATGCTACCTTACAATTTATTTTTCTAAAAACTTAGAAACTTAGGCATCATTAATATCATCAACATTTCTGACCACCTATTTATTCTTATTAGCTTGGCTATGTGCAAGACATTGATCATTATCAAAATGTTTATTTTTCTTTTTAGTCATTGTACCTTTGGAAATAGCAATATTTGAAGTAGTAGAGAAACCTTCCTTCTTTGCCTTGCAAACTCTACTACTTTCCAAAAACCCATATAACATTGAAGTCTAAACAAAGATCATTTTGTTAGTTGAAACAAATATCACTAAAGCACTATTACTCTTTATTTCTATTACTAAAAGTCTAAACTTGTAGAGGTCATGAACCATAATATGCTTATTTTCAATCACAAACGCCTTTGAATAAGCTTTTCCAAGCTTTCCACAAGCATTATCAACCTTAAAAAAGAAAGGTCTAACCCACTTTCCATTGTTAGCAACCTCAACAGGCCTAAACCTATTCCTAACCTAAAGTACTTTAACATAAAAAAAACCAATTGTTGAGTATTTAGCATTTCTAATAACCATTCCACTATTTAATTTATCAACCATAGACTTATTAAGCACTTTAAATACTAGCATGTCAGAGATAGTCCTTTTTTTCTTTTAAATTGGATTAAAAAAAAGGGTTTTCAAGAATGAGGTTGGAGTGATTTGGTGATAAAGACAAAAGAGAATGATTGGTAGGGTTAGCATGGATGTCTTCTATTTATTTTTTGAATTTACCTTCATGTTCACTATGTAACCACTAACCTTTTTGCCATGATTACATTGTCCTTTCATGTAAATATTTGGTTGATCATCTTAGTGTTTTTAGTTTGGAAGCTCTCCAACTTAATTTGTTATTCTATATGTCACTATTCCATTATGCTTTCAGTGACCCATGTATACAATTATAGTGTCAAAATAAACCATAACCAAGATTGAGCTCTGATATCATTGATACAAACAAAAAAAAGTTACAATCAAAATATTGTCTCAACAAAGAAGGATTAAAAAGAATAAATTTTTAGCATTTACTAAAACATAAACTAATAGGTTTCAATTTGTTTTGGCTTACCATAGTTTGTTAGTTTTTTATGATGTGTATAAGCAAATGATAACATTTTAGGTTAGGCTCATAATCTTGATAATTCATGGTATATCTGTGTTTTAGATTATCAAAATTACAATCACAATCACAATCAAGGGTTGATAAGTATCGGTGCGTAATTAAATTAGGTTTTTGCATAATATTAGGTTTGTTTTGGAATTGTGAGTTTAGACTATTCTATTATGACCTCTTTTTTGCCAATGAAAGATCTATTGCTATGAAAATTTTAGAGTTTTGCAAGCCTTTTTTGGCATAGGATCTTCCTTTAGATATTTTGTTGTTAAGCTAATAGCACCATTGTGGAAGTTGTAGTGTTTGGGAAGAGTTTTCAAAGGATGCACTTCTTAACTTGATAGATTGGTAACAAAAGAAAGATATTATAATGGGTTTTGGTATTTTGAATAGAGATATTTCAACAATAGTGTGTGAGTTAGATGAATGAAGTGGGTTTACTTTTACTAAACTAATGTCTTAGGAAATATTAAAGCTCAATGATATTGTGCTTTGTTGGTGTGTTACAAAAATTAGATGTAGCACATATAAAATAATTGTTGAATATTGAAGATAACTTATTATACTCTTTAGGTGATGATGAATATGAATTTTCTAAAAAACTCAAGCATTTGAATTTTGACTATCTTTAGGTGTATTTGAAAGGCAATCTTACTAAAATCATAGATTCTAAGATGAAAAAGTCCTTTAAAGGTCCTTTGACAAAGGAATTTTTTAGTTTCAACTTTCATGAAATTTTGTATGAAAAGTTGAAAGTTTGTACATTTGGTCGATTCATGTTTTCTCCTACACATGCCATTGTTTTCAATGAAATTAGCTTGCCAACAAGCGTATGGTGAAGTTACTCCTAGGTAAACATGAGCAACCTTACTTTTAGAACTTTTACTATTAGCTTTCTTTAACCATTTCGAGGTACTTGATATGCCCTTTGATGATAGGACAATATACCCTTTCAATGCCTTTTGAAATTTTTATTTATTCCAAACATACCTTAAATGTCTTTTTTCCTATTAAGAAAGCATTCATGTTGCATCACTAAGTGATCACATAAAGTGCAACCTGATGATTCGCTCCTATGTCTTGTTCTTTTTTCATGGTCTACTTATAATTCATGAGTTTTATAATGACTGTCCTAAATTAAAAAAAGTGTGTAAGTTTCATCAGAGATGAAACTTGGATTTAAGTGCAATAAAGTCTTGTGAGTTGCAGCAGAAATGACCATATCAGATTCTAGCTTGTTGAATAATGATCAAGTCATCTCTCTTACGAATGACAGAGATGAGATAGGGGTTGACTTTCAAAGGTTAAAACCATTCTTTATATACTATCTAGTTAGAGGTGAATCATCTAGCATTGGTCAACCAAAGCAAAATCATATTTATAAAGACTAGAATTTACTACCATGATTACTAAAATTGATGATAATGAGGCTTTGATTCTTGAATTACTATATGACAATGACATTTTAGAATAAGAGTTTGTCATATAGTGGTACCAAAAAGGCACTATTGCTTTACAAGCAAACTTTATCATAAACTAAAGAGGAAATTTCAAGCTTTCATTCCTAATTGAAAGAAACGGTATTATTTGAAGCTAGTATGAGTTTAATTGTGTTAAGAACCTTAATTGTATGTCAAAATTTATTATTAGTAAGTAATGAGTTAAAAGTATGTTAATATAATTATTTAAATGGTTAATTAAGGATTAATTACCCTTGCAAATGAATAAATGCTTATAAAATGACAGAGGGGACAAATTGTAATTCATTTCGTAATATAACTCAAAGCATATTGGAGACATAATGTACAAATGGCAAACTAAGCTGGAGAGCTTCCATACTAAAATGACCAAGATGATCTTTCAAATGTTTAAAAGAATGGATGATGTAATTGTTGGTAAAAAGGTTAATGACTATATGGTGAACATGAAAGCAAATCTTAAAACTAATGGGAAAATAAATAGCACAAAGAACATGAAAGAACCATTTTCTTTTTTTTCTTCCTTATCCTCCTAACCTTTCTTTTTCTTGATTTCTCTCCACTCTTTTTTGTCCCTTACTTTATTTATTTCTTTATTGCTTTCCATTTCAGCCC